GGCGGCGGCCGCGGCGGCTGCCGCGGGGGCGCCGCTGTTGAAGGTCGGCGCGGCGGCCAGCCGCGATTTGCTGTTATAGGGTGTAAGCCAGCCCCAGCCCCGCACGAGCCGCGTCCGCAGCTGGACCTCTCTTGCTCAGATGTCATAGGGCGCCGTTACAGACTTGCATGCGCAAAACAGCAGCCCCGCCCGCCGCCGCGCTCGGGGCCACAGTGGGTGCCGCGGCGCCGCGTGTGCACGGTCAGGGCCTGGCGACTGCGCAAACCCCACCCAACAGCTTGGATTTTTTGAAACCTCAGACTGGACCGAAAGATGGACCCCCAAAAGCCCTGGCGAGATGGCTAGCAGAGGCGGCGCGGGCGCCGCGCGCCGACAAAGCGTCACAACCAGGCTCCCAGCGTGCCCGCGGCGCGGCGCGGCGCATACGAAACCCCCTGTAGTAAAAACAAGCAAGGAAACCGGGATTCGGAAACCGTCCCCCATTGCCCAACGAGCCGTTAGCCCCCCTTGCCAGGCGCGGCGGGCACGTTTTTGGGCGCCGCACGCGCGCGGGCCGATGAGCCGCGGGGGAGCGGGGGCCGCCCGCGCGCAGCAAGACGGCGCGCGGGGGCGGGGGCCAGGCCACAGGAGGGGAAACGGGGCCGGCGCCACGGCCGAGGGCGGCGGCGCGATCGGAGGAAAGAGTGTCAGATGCGTTGCAGGGGTGGGGAGGCGGGGTGGGAGGTCGCGCAAGGGAGGGCCAAAAAAGCGAACCCCAAAACCCTGGCGCCCCTAAGGGTGGGTAGGAATTGCCGCCGCGGCGGCGCATGCATGCTGTTCCTTGGTTTCGTCGCCGGTCCGCGACGGCGGGGCGGGGGGGCGAGGGGCCAGGGCGGCGCGCGCGACCAGTTGCCAGCTGTGTTGACGCGCGCCGCTGACACATGTGCCCCACTGATTGCCCCCTCCAGCCGGGGATTCGGCGCAGTCAATTGTTGTGGCGGCCTATTGTGGGCCGCCCGAACCGCATCCCACACAGATGGCTTGCCGCAGCCCCCAGGGCCGCGATTGGCTGGGGCGCGTGCGCGAGTAAGAAACCGGGGCTGCACGCGGAAAGGGAGTAAGGAGCGCGCGCGCGCCGCGCCGAAAGTGCGATTTTAGGAGGCGGCCGGGTGTGGCTTGCTTTTTGTAATGTAGCAGAGTGTGTGTGGAGGGGAGGCCTGAAGACATAAGGGGGCCGCGTTCGAGTTTCACGGATTTGTAATTGGGGCCGCGAGGCGCCGTGGCCTCGGCTTGGGAGCAACAATAGGAGCGCGCGATCGAAGCAGGGCCGGGGCCGGCGCTGTGCCCGGGCCCGTCGCGCGGCGCAGCCGCGGGGGGTCGCCTTTTCCACAGGGGGTGGCAGCAGTGTATAGAGAATATCATGCCTGGAGCCTTGGCGGCGGGTTTCAGTTGGGACTGCGGCCGGCGAGCCCGCCTGGTTCGAAGAGGGGAAAGCAACGCAGCCGCCGCCGGGGGCGCTGGAAGGGTTTCGGGCAAACAAAAAAGCGCGTAGGCAGCTCGGCGCATGATTGGATGGCCCGCACCACCGCGCGCACACGCTGCGCGCGCCGCCGCGCCCGGCGCCCGGGCGCGCCGGCGGCGCGGGAGACGGCTCGAGAAGTGGGCGCGCCCGGGCGTCAAGGGTTTGCTGCTGAGAGGTCTAGTGTTGGGGCCGCGAAGGATGTTTCCGTTGTGGGGGTTTTCCGTTATTTTGCCAGGAGCTGGGGGCGGCCGATTCGGTCAACCATTGAGCCTCTGGTCAAACGTTGACGCGCACCAGCAGCCGCCGCCGCCGTGGCCACCCGCGCCAGCTGCGGCGGCCGGCTGCCTGCGCCGCGGGGCGTCGCAGGCGCCCTGTCAGCGTCGCGCAACCCTGCCACACGTGCGCCTGCGTGCGGACCGGCCCGGCCTGTGGACTAGACCCGATTTGTATGGACCCAAATTCAAAAATCGGAGGGGTTTTCGCATGCAAGAGCGCACCAGCAGGCGCCTCGGCGCGCGAGAGCTAAGCGGCATCGCGGCGCGGCGCGCATCAAAGAGCGCAACATTCTCGAAATTGTGTCCCGCAGGGCCCCGCGCGAGGCGCGACGCTCTGGGGCCCGGCCGCGGGCGCCTCGACGCGCGCGGCGGCCGGCGCCGTGAGGGGTAAGGGGGGCAGGGATCTCAGGTCACTGGGGCCCGGTGTAGAATATGGCGGGCCCCGCAGGGCTCGTTGTGTAGTAAAGCGCCTCCTCTGCCGGCAGATAGCCCTGCTGCTGCTGCTGTTGCTGCTGCTGCTGCTGCTGGTGGTGGTGGTGCATGACCGCCGCCGCCCCGGGGCCGCCCTGGGGGCCTGCCCCAATGTACATGACGGGCTGTGACATCATCGCCTGGCCGGGGGCTCCCATTATTGTGGCGCCGCCGACGATCTGTCGGGGATGGGAGGAATGGGAGTGGGGGCGTTCACGCCTGAAGGCGTCAGTGGTGTGTGGGACAAAGGGGTGCGCATACACGTACACACACTTCAATACACACACGCACGCAAGCACACACTCATACACACGCACACGAACATTGATACAAACACACCGCATTCGTTACAACCACTCACAAATAATCATATAAAAACAACGACACCATCACCATCAGAGCCGCACGCAAAACACACACGCGCGTGTGCATGGACACACACGCACCTGTCCAGTCATGTATCCGCCAGCCATCAGAACCTCGGACGGCCCCGCCAGCCCCACGCCGCCGCCCTGCACGCCCGCCAGCGCCCCGCCGAGCGGCGCCTGAACCAGCCGCGCCACCTGCGGCCCCGCCTGCAGGTGCTGAACCATCTGCGCCCCGCCGCCCCCCAACCCGGGGTGCATGAGCGCCGCCTGCTGAACCATCTGCGCCGCGCCGCCGCCGGGGCGGCCGCCTGCGGGGCCGGGCGACACGAGCCGGTACACCGCCCCCGCGGCGCCGCCCGTGCCCGCGCTCGCGCCCGCGGGGCCGACGGCGATGCCGGCCGTCGCCGCCGTCGCTGCGCCCGCGGCGCCAAAGCCGGGTTGGCCGGAAGGGCCGGCGCCGAAAGGGATGGCGGCGGCGCCACCGCCGGGCCCCGCCGACGAGGCAGCGGCGGCGCCGCGCCGCGCGCCTGTGGCGTTCTTGCCCCAGGACGCTTTCACCGGCTGCGGAGGTCGGCGGAAAGCGGGGACGCGCGCGCCCGTGTTTGCGCTCGCCCCCCGATGCGGCCCGACCCCACACGAGCAGACGCGCCGCACCCGCCGCCGCGGCCGCCGCCGCAGCACCAGCAGACCAGCTGCAGCCGCCCTGCCGGCTCGGTCCCCGGCCCCTAAAACCCAAAACATAACCCCGAGCCGGCCGCAGGCTCACCCTGCCGCAGAAGACCTTGGTGTTCGTCCCCACGATCGCCTGCACCGCATCCGCGTGCTCCTTGTAGCGCACAAAACCGTAGCCCCCCTTCTTATGAAGCTTCAGCTCCGCCACCGGCCCAAAGCCTGCGGCGGCGGATCGAATCGGGTGCCGCGCAGCTCAGGTCGCGCAGCAACGTAATGGCGCCGCGCGCCGGCGGGGAGGGGCGGGGAGGGGCGTCGCGGACCCGGGCCTGCGGGGTGCGTGAGGGGCGGACGCGCAG